AAGATCGTTTAGTTTGTTGTTAAAGATCGTTTAGTTTGTTGTTAAAGATCGTTTAGTTTGTTGTTAAAGATCGTTTAGTTTGTTGTTAAAGATCGTTTAGTTTGTTGTTAAAGATCGTTTAGTTTGTTCATAAAGATCGCATGGTTTGTTGTTAAAGATCGTTTAGTTTGTTCTTAAAGATCGCATTAGTTTGTTGTTAAAGATCGTCTAGTTTTTGTTAATGATCGCTTTATTTGTTCCTAAAGATCGTTTAGTTTGTTCATAAAGATCGCTTAGTTTGTTGTAAATTCGCTTAGTTTTTTCATAAAGATCGCTTAGTTTGTTCTTAAAGATCTTTCAGTTTGTTTTAAAAGATCATTTAGTCTTCTGTTAAAGATCGCTTAGTTTATTCTTATAAATCATTAAAGATCATTTGTTTTGTTCTTAAAGATCATTTAGTTCGGTCTTTAAAATCGTTTAGTTTGTTCTTTAAGATCGTTTAGTTTGTTATTAAAGATCGCTTAGATAGTTCTTAAAGATCACTTAGTTTGTTTTAAAGATCGTTTAGTTTGTTCATAAATGTCGTTTAGTTTGTTGTTAAATATCATTTAGTTTGTTCTCAAAGATCACTTAATTTGTTCTTAAATGTCGCTTAGTTTGTTGTAAAATATCGCTTTTGCTTAGTATTAAATGACCGAAAACCTGAGTAACTTTCGGCCAGATGGCCGAAAGTCTAAGTCAATTTCGGCCGTAACCGAAGAAAAACCGAAAGTTAAGTTTTCTCTTTCGGCCGAAACCGAAATTGAGCCGAAAGTTAATTTTCCAGTTTCGGCCGAAACCGAAACTTGGCCGAAAGTGATAAAATGGCCACTTTCGGCACCGAAACTGAGGCCGAAATTCGGTCGGCCTCTAATCTCCATTTCCCGAACAAACTCACTACAGCTGATTTCATGATCTTGACACATGTATCGTAGAGTGTAGCCAAGCAACTGTATATCTCATGTGAAGTGATATAAAATATAATTCAAGTTTAATCAATCGCGCAATTTATTAACACTGAATTATCTGTCAAATTTCTTTGTTTCTGAAATATGTAATTATAATTATTTCAAAGCAATATTTGTGTTTTGATGAAAAGTGCATAAAAGTTATAGAGAAGAAAGCTAAAAGCGTGCAATTCTAAAATAAATATCTTTAAGAGATTTTAGACCACCAGCACAAAGCTTTGTGATCAATTAATTTGAAGGGGGCACTAGTTTTTTTATTATAATAGATGAGGTGAATGGGGTGTGTGGTCGGGTACAAAATTGGGCCCACGCGTGTGAGGGATGAGGTGGGGGACTTTGGAGTGATGCGAGGATATGGAATTGGATCTTGGGCGGGTGTCAGGAAGGGGGAAATGCGTTAAAATGTTCTGTATGCAGGGATTTTATACCATGTCGAAACCGTACGTCTAATTGTGAATGGGCTTGCATAGAATATGATCTTATGACGAAAGTGGATGGCATGCTTATGTCAGTCAGTTTCTCTTCTATTTCATCATTCTATATGACGTAGTTCATACAAGTCTCCCCACCACCACCAACCCCACCCCCTTCCCCCCCCCCCCCCCAAAAAAATTTTTTAAAAAATTATTAAACTTTTTTTTTCAGACCGTGGTTACAAATGCGAAATGATTTTAATTTGTAATCGAAATCTGACTTATTTTGTAATCGAAATCTGACTTATTTTGTAATTTAGTCAGATTTCAATTACAAAATAAGTACAAAAAAATTAGTCAGATTTCATTTTTTTGTTTTGGAATCTGACTTATTTTGTAATTTAAATCTGACCTATTTTGTAACTGAAAATTATTGTGTAACTGAAATCTGACTATATTTTAATTAAAATCCGACTTACTTTGGATATATATTTTTTAAAATTAAAATCACAAATTCCGCTCCAAAAGTTTAATACCCATTAATCCTAAAAGCAAGAAGGATGTTGGTCCGCACCTGACTTAAGCCTACGCAAGCAAGATTTATTACGCTAGGCTCTTATCCCACGGTCGTCACGGTCATGACTATGGCTAGGAGTGTAACACAGGGGGACGGGACCAAGCAAAACAAGCCATCTTCTTAGTGAAACCTACTTATACATCCTACTTGTTTGCAACATTGTTAAAAATAAAGTTACTTAAGGCGTGTTGCCCGAAAATATCCCTTTCATTTTGATAGTCGTTAGTGTTATCTAATTTTGTCATCTAGCTCCTTTCTATTGTTTTATTTTTGATAATTTTATTTAAATTTTTTTTGTAACTTAACACGCACATTTCAATTGTTATTAAATACTACAAATATTTAAATATTGTACAGAATGAACTTTGTATAATTCAGGTTGAAATGAAAGTCGAGTTTGTTTGTTTGTTGCTCATGGGCAGTTTCGTGCGATGTGACTTTCGTGGGGAGCTATGAAAAATGAGTGTGATAACAGGGGACCTGTTGTCAACACAGGTAAATATAAATTTACATGTTACTTTATGTAATTATCACTATTATCACAAGTTTATTTTCTAAATTCTTCAGTTCTCTTTGTTGTGAAATTTTTTAAATGTCGTGTCTATTTCCCCCAACTCACAAAAATTGAAATCTATTTTTTTAACTTTTGAAGGGGGTGCGAAACATAAGTCAGAGTGGTGTAGAGTGTAGTGTATATATGGCATCCTTCCGCCCTCGTGAGGCGATGGAGTAGCTATGTAGTTTATTTTAATGTCATGATTACGTCTCTTTTGATAAAATTTTTATGTACAGTGCGGTGAGCCCAGCCCTAGGCTGGGGTACCGCGCTATATAAGACCTCTTCATTATTATTATTATTATGTAGTCCTACACTTCGACGAGTGGCTCACTAGGCCAATCCTAGAATGACTATCTCGACTGAATTTCTCGCAGATGAACATTGAATCCTAGTAAGATTTTGACTTCCATATTGTTCTTTTTGTTGCAAGGGCCTCGTTTCGTGTATCTTCTGCCTTTTTTACTCCTTCATACACTGCTGTTCGCAAGTGGTACGTTGTTCAGCAATGAGCTCCCATCCTTTGTTTTCAATATTGGCTTCCTTCATGCTCCTTTTGCAAACGTCAATAAATCTCAGGCTTGGCCGTCCAATAAGTCTTGTCCCTTCTGCGAACTATCCATAATGCAGTATCTTTGGGATGCCTTCCTCCATTGTCCTTACCTGGTCTATCCAGCGAAGGCGCCTCTTGCTAAGAAAGGAGAATATACTGAACGTGTGCACATTCCAAGACCTTCGTGTTAGGCACCTTGCCCTGCCATCGAATGCCACGCAGACATCTTTGATGGAAGCTGTTGAGTTTCCGCTCCTGACTGGTATAAGTGGTATACACTTCGCTACCTTATAGGAGTGTACTAAGCACACATGCCTGATGGACAATTATTTTTGTTTTATCAGATTGAGATTATTCCACACCCGCTTATTCAGTTTAGCTATAGGTGTTGCTGCTTTTGCGATCCTGATATAGAATGTAGAGTATAGAAAAGAAGTAAGGTGTGCAACAGTAGGGAGATGATGGAGGGTGATAGAGATGGTGGAGTTTGAGAGAGATGGGTTTCAAAAGATATTTTTGTATGTCTACCTAGCTAGGATGCTAGCTGGTATAATTAGTTTCTTGAGGCTCCACATACAAGACTGGTGTTTGGAAATATTGCCTGGTTTACAACTTTCAAATTCAAATAAATTTAACAGCACCAATGCTTATCAGTATATATTTTGTTCAATTGTCATTTTAACGGGATAAAATGATGTGCACTACGCTATTTCCATTACTCTGCATTAGACAAACATAATGAAGGTGGACAGCACAATTTGAATTTAAACATTCTTTAAACTTTAAATTTTTTAAAACTCTTTTATTTTAAAGTCCTCATGTCATTGAATATCATTTTAATACAATGCAAGTTAATGGAGACCTAGATTAAAACCAAGAAACATTCACAAATCTTAGGTTTCCATTTAAATAACATTGAATGGAAACCGACAACTGCTTAACTTGCTGTTGACGCCAACACTCAGATTGAAGGTAAAGGCATCAAGGCATAAGATGTCGGATCAATGAGTTGCATTGTTTCAAAAGTGTTGAGAAAATAATGTGCAGTGAAGTGAATTGCCAAGGATTTTTATTTAAAACACAAATACATTAAAAAAAGAGCCACGTGTTCCTATAAAGAACAACGGTAAAAGTTACATCAACATTGATTTATAAATGAAGAATTATGTGTGAGTCTACATGAAGTTAAACAATTAAATAGCAACATATATCTCAGACTTGTGTCATTCAGTTATATCATTGGCTCATTTGGCCGCTATGTCTTTTCAACTTTTGATGACTCAGGATATCAGAATTTTTGCCAATTTTCCACTTTCTTGATTTTCATTCTTTGCCAGACTTTAATTGAACTTTTCCATCAGTTTTACTGGTAGGCATTAGCCTTATGCTTTGGAAGAAAGTGAAAGTTGGCTGGAACCGGTCCTAGAAGCATTTCACTGGAAAAAAAAAAATAAGTCATTGAATTAGGTCAATAAAATATACAAATCATGGAAATTTAATTGCCAGCATATCCAGTATTCCTAATCACTGTGTAAGAGGTTGCACATGTGCTCAAATTAGTCAGCATTATATCAATTTTTATGCCAGTCCCTTACTGCTCAGACTGATCTTATCTAGAATTGAACATTTTTCAGATTTTGTTCATTTTGTTTCTGTGATGTCATAGTTCAAAAATATTTCCTCTGCTGGGATTGTTCAAACATATTTCCTGTGCTGGGATTGTTCAAACATATTTCCTGTGCTGGGATTGTTCAAACATATTTTCAAAAGAATTCACCACATCAAGTAGAAAAAAAAAAATGTATTTCTCTATACTTTTAATGAAAATGATTCCACTTCTGTTCGTTCACATTCTGAGTCATATTACAATTTTTTTTAGACCCCGAATGATAATGTAGAAAGGTAATTTCAATAATGAATGTTTTGCCACTGTCTTCAGGTGAAAGTAAAAAACAAAAAGGGATAAGATAAGGTTCATTATTTTTTTAATGCAAGCGGGCCAAGAAGAAAAGTTGCATAGACTTTAGAATTGATCATTTACCGCTTATGAAATATTTCGTACACTCGCATATAATGTGAAACCCTCGTTTCAAGTGGCATATTTTACACTATATTTCTCAGAATAGACATGGTATTATACGGTAGATAAAATTTGAGTTTACGAAGGACACATAATAAACATTCCCCCCCCCCCTTTCTGTAAATGTCCATTTATAATCCAAATCTAAAAGATGGGTTATTCTTCATTACCATATTTTATAACCTTTGTCAACCTTTAGATAGTTATTTGTTATATTTTAAAATAAAAAAATAAAATTCTCCAACCTTAAGCAGCATAATAAGACAACAAATACAAAATAAATTATTGCTATATAGAAAAGAATAAGCTGATGTCAACATGCGTGCTGATGTCATCATGTGTGCTGAGTTCAATAGAGACCACGGTAAAAAATTTCTATTACTATTACTGCACCAAACAAAGTGCAAAAGTGTGTGCAAGGTAAAATTCCTCAATCTAATTGGTATTCTTAAAAAAACTGCAGTCACTTTTTTAACTTTATGGAAATCCAATCAATTATTATTGTAGAAACAATTTAATATAACAATTAAATAATTACATAAGCATGTTATCTGAATGTGACATTCTTTATTATTACAACTCACTGATGATCTATGTGTTACGATAATTAATTTGTAAGCAAATTTATTGAAAACTCTATTCTATTGTAATCAGAATGTTTTTTTATTGCGAAATTAAATTTAAAATTTATATTAATGGCTCAAATAACCACATACAGTATCAAATTCAAATTTTCGCTTGAGCCCAATGAACCAATTTATAATAATCTGAAAATAACTGAATTAAAATTGCGGACCATTGTTTTAACATACCACACAAAACTTAAGCTTGTATCATTAACATTTAACAAGTTGTACTTTTTTCAAACAAAAGAATTTGAAATTTACTAAATTTGTAAAGGAAGAAAAATGGAACTTGCCATTAAAAAAAAATAATTAAAATGAGACAATGATGATCACAAAATATTTTTTTTAATTGTGTGAAAATTAAATATTATCTTGCAATAATTTTCAAACGTATGTGAAAATTTGAAAATAAATATAATATTAATTTTGATCTATGTACTTAAGCTTATTATTTTGTTTTTTTCCTTTTTTAATTTAAGGGCGACAGAAATTTGGTGGGAGGAGGGGGTATATAGTAATATCAAAATCTCCAAAGCCCATTATGTTACAGATTTTAAGCTTTAAAAGTATTTGACTATAAAAATAATAACCATAATCTTTAAATATAAATGTAAATATGCGTTGAACTATTTTTTAAAGCAATGTTAACGTTGCATGGTAAGAAGGGTGGGACAATAGAATTTTTAGAATAACTCAAATCCCAAGTATGTTACATCCCGGAAATTGAATATCGATAGTTTCAAAAGTAATGAAATAATTTATTCCATCTTCTTCAGTCAACACAATTCAGGGTTGGATAGGCTATTTTATATATAACATAAATATTGTTTTAAATCCAATGATGTTAGAAACGTAAACATCTATACATAGATACTTCATTAAAAATAAGGAAAGTCTGATTTAAACTTCCTAAATTCATATTTCAATGGCTTGGAAAAATGCTTCAAATTCATTTTTTAGGATAAAATACCTAAAAACCAGGTTTAGTTACATATTTTAAAATGGATTTTGAAATATTGAGTCCTTTGGAATAGTATGTAGGAGGTAATGCAATATGCCTTCCATTATAATGCCGGTAACACCAGGTCATATCTTCTAGTACTATAATAATAAGTTTTTAAAAATACAGATTGAAGGTTATTGACAAAATTTACCTAATTTTAATCCAGTCTGCACAGTTAGCACTAGCCATTAGAGTCTCAAGGTCATTACGACCAACATAGTAAGGCGGACGTTCATTAATACGCTGAGGAAGAACTTCCAAAACGCCAACAGGAATGTACCTGAAACATGATTTTTAAAAAAAGTTTTTTAATGTTTCAACAATTTTTAAAAATAAAAGAAATAAAATTGTAAGGGTTTGGTTTGGACTCTCTAAATACCATTTTATATACATACAATGTTCTACCTATATAAAAATGATAACCACTCCAGTAAGAAACGTCTCGTATTCTCCACTCCTTGGTGGTCAGATCCCCAGTGCTCCAGGCCATAATTGGTGTATTGACGTAGGATGTCCATCCTCTCCCCAGATGATATGTCCCAATGTCTTTGCTCTTTGATCTCTGTAAATATCCAGGGTTTTATTAAGGCTCCCCTGAAAAACAAAATACATTGATTCAAAGCCACATCAAGCATTAGTCTCTAAACATAGTAATCAATTGTGGATGGATGGGTGTATTTAAAAGACAATGTAAATGTATGCAATAAGAATTTGACAATGGCCCGTTCATTCATAAGCTGACCATCTCTCAATTTAGGCCAGAAAAATGCCAGAAGAGTGTGTAACCTGCCCTCCATGCAACAGTATGCAAGTAGAAGCAATATAGTACTAAAGAAAAAAAAGTTTCTTCTTAAAATTCAAACCTTTAAAAACCATCTAATAAAGAAATTCTAGAAATTGCCTCACCTGTTAGCATTCTTAAGAAGAAATACAACATATTCGGACATAAACAACCTTTTTTCCAATCAAGGGATGGGTGGGTAAAAGGAGTAGCACAACACATCTACTCAGAGACGTCACTATCAAAACAAAACAAACGGAAGACAAGTGGTGGTGGCCACAACACTAAAATTAGGCCTACACACATGCCATAATAGTAAGAAAAAAGACTTAAAAAATTAATAAACATACAGTATTATGTATATAACTTATATAACACAGATATTTGCTTATAACATATTATGGCTGAGTATTATTATTTAATTTGCTATTCTTTGTTGTCTTGTCTACTGAAGAAGGCATCATTAACCCACTCTGATGAGAACTTTACCTGGCCACCATTACCCAACTCACGTAGTTCTGATGAGAACATAACCTGGCCACCATTACCCCATTCTGAAGAGAACTTTAACCGGACAACACTACCCTACTCCACTCTGATGAGAACTTACCTGGCCACCATTACCCCACTCACTCCACTCTGCTTCATGTGAAAATTTGCATCTTCATAAGTCAACACATCTCCATTTCCTGGAATTCAAAAATCCAATTTTTTTATATTTGACATACATTTTCTTCCAATGTTATCTTTATTTACCCTTAAAATATAACAGGTTATCACTCAGAAAAACAACATACCAAAGACTGGCATGGGAGCTCCAGCAGCTGAACACTCTGCAATGTAATCCCAGTCTGCTTGTTTAGTATAGCGCTGCTCTCTTGATCGCCCGTGAACCTGTAATAAATAAACTATACAAATGTTATTATAATGTAAAATCTATTCTAGAACATGTTGTCAAAGACTTAAGAAATAAAGTAATAAGTTAAAGAGATTTACAATGAAACTGAGATCGACTTAATCTTTGAAAGCTCATCCAATTTAAAACAAAAAATAGAAGGAACAAAAACTTGCAAGAATTTATATTTCCTACCGTCACAAGTGAAACGCCAGCGTTCCTGAGCCGTGGAATGATCTGGTGAGCAATATTCTTGCCATCAAATACCCCGGTCCGAAGTTTGACAGTCAGGGCCGTGTCTCCCATGACACCAATCATACTTCGACAGATCTGTTCCAGCTTGGTCGCCTTGCTCATCAAAGCACTGCCACCTCCCTAGGAAATGACAATATCATCAACATCATTACATTGATCCGTAAGCTAGTGCAATAATCATGATAGAAAAGATATAATTCACATTAATAGAGATTGGCCCTTATACTCTTTTTAAGAAATAAACTATGAAGTTATTGCCGTTAGGATTCACCCCCATTACTGGTTATTTTATTGTTATAATTGTGGATGTGGAAGGCACGGACCTGGCACTGACCTTTTTGTAGACCAAATCAATAGGGCAGCCACAATTGATATCAATAAAATCAACCTGACAGTTTTCTGTGAGAAGCTGAGCACACCGAGTCATTGTATCAGGATAGGAACCACAAATCTGTTTAAGAAAAGTACCATGTTTGAGTAACAAAAACTTAGAAAGAGCAACAATATAATGTTTTTGGTTAAAAATAACATTGAGTTTAGTGAGAAAAACTACAAAAATAGTGTGTTATTACCTGGACACCAAAAATATCTTCACTAGGATGGCGTTTAATGAGTGACCATTCCGACTGCTTCGCTTTCAGCAACTGTGTGACAAGGGCCATTTCTCCACATGTGATATCTGCACCAAAACCTTTACAGATACGACGGAATGGCAAGTTCCCCACCTACAATGGCAACAAATGGTCAAGTTAATGTTCACATGTGGCAAATGACGAAAATGGGCTTGTCTTTACCCTCAAGACATCTAACAACTTTAATTATGATTAGACACAATACAAATTCAAACTTTTCATCACTACAGCAAAAAAAAAACCTTGAATATAATTATAAATATAATATTATAATTACAAATATAATATTAATTATATATGTATATCCCACCTTTACCTAAAAATGATATATAAAAGAAAAGAATGAGACTAGGCACAAGTCCCTAACGAAAACAAAGCTCACAAGATAGAAAGATATTGGGTGGAAGTACAACATAAAAACCAAACAAGAAAAAGACATTACAGATATGTCAAATTGTGACTTTGGTTTGTAGGCAATGTTCTAAATCTATTTATTAATCTGTTTTCCTTTATACATTCTATCAGGTATATCCATTATACCAGTAACTGTCATGTCTAATACTCCACTATGGTTGGCATATTAAAATGGTTAGAAAAAGGATAAAGGGCCCGTTTACTGATGTTGTACAGGTTTTCTATAAAACGGTCTCCCATACGGTCTCCCATACGTATGATTTTTGGCACTTTTTAAAAGGGTTAGTGTAAATCATATTGTGACTTCTGCAAGTAAAACCATCTTTGATTCTGGATATTTCTAGAGGAAAAGTGAACTTATCAAGTTCAAAAAAACATAGGGATATCTGTTGCAGCTGCTACATTTGCAATTTTTGGTGCCTAAAAATGCTTTGGTAGCAGGGACATGGCTTCTGATAAGCATTATTCTAAGACTCTTGCCCTCTCGAAAGCAAAAAGAAGAGGTTTCTTTTAAAAATATTTTGGTGATAGGGCCTGCTATAAGGATAGACCAGTTTTTAATAACGAGATAAGTTAATTAAAACCATAGACACATATGTAAGCAAAAACAGCATTCAGTCACTTACTGTAGTCAATGGTGCCAGAGATATTTTGTTTTTGAAGTTAATCTGCAAAGAATTCAATTAATTAACATAAAACATTATTTTAAAAAATTACTATATTTTGATTGTGAGTTGACAAGCCTACATTGACGACATCTAAAATGCTAAAGAATGGATATTTTAATGTTTTTGAGAGGCTTGCCCATGTTTTAAACAAAGTAGTTGTCTCTGTCAAATCTAAAGTTGTTAAAACTAAATCATTGAATGACTTAACGACTATCCAAACTCAAACAAAAGTAATTCCATTTATCAACCATCATTCGTTGTTGATGTTTTACATTTTAAAATGGACTTGATAAGAACTATTGTATTTTTGTTAACCCTTTAACAAATGCAACTGAAAAACCCATGTTGATAATTTATATATTATATAATCAACTTTAAGACTGATTACAAATACATTCAAGTGAAAACTAAAAGCTAAATGCACTTACCTTAACTTTTTCCAATGGACGTAATCGGATCACTTCTTCATCTGTCATGCATCCCAATGTTGTGTTACCACCAGCTGCGGTTGCTTTATCACAGATTGTAACCACCTGAGGGAGACTGTCACTCACCACTTTTGTCAATGATATATCATTCTTTAAAACACTTTCATTAGCTTGTACAGCACTAGTTACAGTAATGCTGTCACCATTTACACCAGTCTGCACAACACTGGCCGGTAAGTTACTATCATGAGCAACGCTCTCATGTGTTGCAGTCATCTGTGTGCTGCAGTCCGAGACAACATTGGCCTGTTCACCAGACACATCAGCTGATGACTTGACATTCTCACAAACACTGACTGAATTACTCTTAATACCTTCTTTGGTAGAATCGCCTGGAGCCGAATCTTCACCCCAGCCTCTAAAATTTTTTTGAACTTCTTTTACGACACGATCAGCCTTAGCAAAATTATAATTTCTCTTCCACAGCTTCTTTCTTACGTCCCCTCCTAATTCATTTAACGTCTTGAAACCTTTCATCTTTTCAAACAGCTCCTCATTTACAATATTGTTCAAGTCTTCAGAGAGATGGTTTTTGGCAAAGCGGCAGGATATACCATAGGGACAACAGCCAAAATTATCAAACAGATAACAAGAACCTTCAAGTTCTGTAGGCTTTTTCTTAGCAAAATCTTCCTTGTCATGGTTGAATTTACACTTATCCCCATATCTGCAGTCTTTATTTGCTTTGATTGAAGGGCATATTCTATCTTTTGCTTGGAGCCTTTCAGTCCTAGGTCGGTGTTTATTGCGCCCTTTTAATTTTGCCTTCTTATTTAGTGGTTCTTCTTTTTCCTCATCATCTTCATCAAACGATCTTTTCTGAGCTTTTTCCGACAAATCTTTTTGTAAATTTTGCAATTTTTGAGCAACTTCTGTGCTCAAAAACTCAGCGTGGAGAGTTGGCTTGTAGTCAAGAAGAAGAAATCTAGAATGAAACAAAAATTGATTACAGATTGTCAAATTTTTCTATGCAAATTTTGGAAGCAATCTAAGGCAACAAAAGGTTTACTTTGGATCTACTAAATATTGCCTCAACTATTCAACCTGGCTTAAAATCGCATATTTGGAAGGCCATTGCTCCAGGAAACAGTTTCATCAAATGGGATTCATAATTTTTACCTTTTCTTAATAAAGAGTCAGTCCAGTGGACAAGATATAGCAAACAGTTATTTATAACTTTTATTAATTTTTTAGGAATTTAAAAGTATTAACGCTAGTTTCATTAATAATCATTCCCCTAATCAAAGAATGAATATAGTTACACCCTTCATTAAGCTGTGTCATGAAAGTTCTGGATTAACAAGATTGCCAAAAGCAGCATTTTCACTTTATATTAAGTTTTTATAATAATAAAATAAAGGCTTCATAATTTTGAATTTTAAAAGCAGGATACGAAACTTTTTTTATGGTTACCGGTACTGCTTTAGGCAGACCAATATATTTACTGAAAAGGTTTCACAGAAAGGAAAAAAAACACACTACTTCTAAACAGATTTAGATAGATGCTGCTGTACACAATGACAAGAAAAACCAATTCTTTAATAAGAGAACCACCCCCCCCCCCAAACAAAAAAAAAACCCATTAAATTATGATATTAGGGAGCCCAGTGAGGTCACTCTGGAAGAAATTGCTCGTTTAGAACACATTGATTTCTTTATACTTTATTTAGTTTATTTTGAGCTGTATGCTACAAGGGAAAATTACTCCACACCTTATTTCTATTCAATCAGTATTTGATTTCATACCCATCTTTGGTGAATATTATCACCAAAAAATGGTAACTAATATGTCATTAGTTTATTTATTTTTATAAGATATTTATTTCCTTCAAATTTAAAAAAACCTTTAATGGGCTTGAAGAATTTTAAAATGATAATATTTATAAGTAGGCTAATATAGAAATGAAGTTAAATCTTAATTTAAAATAGAAGCAAGATGAAAATGACTTACTCTTTTTTAATAGGTGCATAACCTGGTTTCCTAATGACAGTGCTCCTTTGTTCACTACAATCTTTGTTAGTTGAATCTTTAGCCAAACCATCACTATTTTCCACATCAGGCGACTGTTTAATAACATTTGCATCACAACTTGCCACTTGACTGGTACTAGAAGAGTCAATTATAGCAATATTCTCTTCTGATTTCTCATCCATCTTACATAAAAAACTGAAAAAGGACACACACAAAAAAATGAAATGTCTATTTTTGAATTACTGACATAATGATTATGTACAATGTATGAAATCCTAATTCACCAATGAGAGGAATAATATAATTTAACTCTTTGAAAATGTTGGCTTAGTATAGGGAGTTATAAGTAATTTCCCACTATACTTTTAGCCTTTACTTACAGTTATATTATTAATAGACCAGTGCTTCCCAACATGTGATTCATGATGCCCGAAAAGGCTCTACATGCACTTCTCAGGGGGTACAGCAGCAATCCTCACCCCCAACACTATTTTTAAGCACTATTTACTTGTAAGTCATATGGTAGGTCTAAGCCTTAGTCCTTCCCCCATAGAAATTGACTCAAAGAAGGGCTCAGCGAGTCCAAAAACATATTTTTGTGACATAGCTACAAAACAATTAAAGTAACCTATATATATATATTACTATATTTTTTTTAAAGAATCAACATAATTCATGATTTATAGGCTTTGGGCTCTTCTATGCAAATAGTGTCTTTCTCTACCGAAGCAAGAACCATTGTGATCATTCTTTTTAGATGATAAGCTGGTTCCCTACATAGCAAATCGCCTCTCTCCATGCTGCTGAATAACCCAAGACAACATCATGTGAATGATAGAGCTTGGAATTAGAATAGTAGTGGCTTCTTTCTTATCATAAAAAATTAATAGGACTATTGTTTTAGTTTTGGTATTAAATAAATTTTATTAAATGTAATTTATAATACTTTCAGATTTTGGTAAGATAAATTGTTCTGAAAAATATATTAATTCAACATCTTAAAGCAAAAAATTCAGTTTTGAGCATTATTTCCCACTTTGAAAGGTTGGTCCCTATTCCTAATCCAACTAGGTCTGGGATAGATTATGCCTACCATTTCCTATCAACTAAAAATCTATATAAGCTAAGTTTGTCTAGGTATTATTGCTCTCAAAGGCTCGTTAGCGGAAACATCCGCCTTTTTGTACAGTATTGTCCTTCTTCACGTTTTTTATCTACTCTGTGTTTATTTGTTATCAACAAAGTAGGTCTAATCAATATCAATAAAACCAACAAATTTATTAATTCAAAATTATTTAGGCTACTAAAACTCATTATAAAATTCACTTTAAAAAACAAATATTACTAAATTATTATCAAACTAGTCTCGGATTTTACAGTTAATCCTCCAGACAATGTGATTTATAAGAGGATGTGATTTATAGCCATTTCTAAAGGGGAGAAAATAAAATAAAATTAAAATATGATCACTGGTTAAAGGCCTATAGACTATACTGTAGGCCTACTAAACATGAAATTAATGACACTAAAATAAGTGATTAGCCTGCCCTAAGGGTTAGGAACCACTCAATCCCATGCTATAGACCATAGTATGTTTATAGTAATAATAAATCCAGCATTTGCCACGGAACTGTCATAATTGTCCATGCTCACTCTTGTTACTTCAGTAAATAAAACAAGGGAGACTAATATGTAATTTGTATCGAAAATGGGTGTCTGCAAAAAAAAAAAATCAGGGACTGGAACCATCTTTCAAAAGGAACAGTTGAGGCGACAACACTAGACACATTTGTGTCTATTGCCTCAAGCCTTCAAACCCCTAGTGCATAATTTCCTCATCACCACCAGTAACAGAAACATTGCAAATCCCATCTACATGCATAGGAGCCAAAATGATCAATAAATTGATCGTGGGCCCTTAAGATATAGAAGAAGAAGAAAAAACAACAGTGTTTTTAACTTTTCTATGAGAGTGTCAATTCATTAATAAATAAATGCTTTTAACATGCTATTTCCTCCATTTCACTTAGAATACATCTTGACCTACATTTCAATCAACCTGTTTGCTTTTCCAATCAAAACTAATTTTTTTTAAAATAATAGGTACCTATAAGGTATTATAAGGCATCTTAATTCTTAATATAAAACACATTTAAAGGAGAAAAATGGAAAAAAAACGGACTTATAACAAGCTATTTTCATCTATAAGATGTGATACATGTGTAACCAGCAAAGGGGAGACTGTTCATGTTTTATTCATGCATTAAAAACATTTATAAAAAAGATGAAAAATTATAAATTATCCTTTTTTTTTCTTTTTTTTTTTTATTACTTTTTATTGTTTTCTGTACAGCTTTTCATGCTGATGAGCAGTTTTTGTAAAAAGCTATTTGTATACTATTTTTACACAAGGGGATGTCATGTATTTTATATTGCGGTAAATTTACAATCAGCACATCTCTCATTTCCCTGTGTTTTTGCATTATTTATTTTCCACGACCGCCAGCTTTGTTGCTATATTAATTTTAAGGCATCTGTGAAGTTATATTTTGTGCACCACTTTAAGATTCTTTGTAGGATTATCTCCCTTTTGTTTATTCATGGACTTTTTCTAGTGTTAACTTTCTTTTTTTTAATACTTATATGCCAATGGAATATTTTAAATTAATTTTTCATTGGCATGTTGATTATAATATTTTAAGCAAGGCTGATTTGCTGGCATTTTGGAAACGAAGTGGCTATTTGCACCCAGGTACCAGAAGTGAGAGGTTGGGATTAAAAAACTATTTAAAATATTATTGTTGGATTTGTAAGACAAAATGAGGTATCAAACGAAAGATAATTGAATGGACTATATGTTTGTAAACTTAATTCTTCAGTTTAACTAAAATAAACTACCACAAATGACATCCGAATAGCATTTAGTCAAACATACATGGACACGCATTGCCGCCTTTCGTTGTGGGCAGAATGTGAAATTTGGGTCACACGTTTTGGGGGTAAAATATATAGATTATATAAGGGGCATACAAAATTCGACAAAATTGTTTTGTTTAAATCATTACTCCACTTCTATAAAAGATAGAAAGATGAAATTGGTGTTGTTATAAAGCTTATAGCTAGCCCTTTAAAATGATTTATCATTCATGGCAATCGGACTATATTATTTAAAATTTGTGTCAAAGTACCTAGTGACTCAATGGTGGCAAATTTGTTACTGTTTTGTGTTAGTTGTTAGTAGGGGTCGCAATCCGGGATCCCGACTCTCGAAAATGCCGGAATACCGGACCATGATCGAAAAAAACTGGATTGGATTTATGAAACCGGGATTTTCGATAATCCCGGGATTTCATTTTCAAAAAATATTTATCGCTTTTCTTAGTTTCCATGTCGTAGTTAAAGCAAGACATATCAATATTTTATGTAATGTGCGAAGTGCGAACCCCTCACACCATGAGTATCAAGTACAAAGATAGCTGGCCGACAGGCTAAACCTGTGTACTGTTCATTTGTCAACTATCACAGTGTTGTGATTAGTTTTGTTTTTACATAGTGCATGTGTAGTGTGTAATAAGTGGAGAAGTGAGTTGCGATGTGACTTACATGATTGGAAAGTAAATGTTTTGATATTAACAACAAATAAATGATTGGTATAATCGAATGAAGATAGAATGTTGACTTACATTAACAATTTGTTTGTAACATGAAATAAATGGAAATATTAACACGCTGCATTCGAATCACAGGGTAAACTTTGAATAACAAAAAATGTTTAATTGCTTGATTTCTTTTAATTATGCCAAAGTATCTACATATTTAAAATTATGAGTAAATCCATATTTTGATAATCTAATACCTTAAGTTTAAGATATAGAAAAAGTATGTTACTTCTAATTTGTGAAAACAATATATATGGCATCCTTCCATCTTCGTAAGACGATGGAGTAGCTATATAGTTCTACACTATGAAGCGTGGCTCACTAGGCCAATCCTAGAGTGGCAATCACGGCCGCATCTCTCGCAGGAAAATATTGATTCCAAACGGTGACATCTTGATTTTTGAATTGTTCTTTTTGCTTCAAGGGCCTCATTTCAACTATTTTCCTGCCTTTTTTACGCCTTCAAACACTGCTGTTCGCCAGTTGGGGCATGGTTCGGCAATGAACTCCCATTCGTTTTTTTCAATATTGGCTTCCCTCATGCTTCTTTTGCAAACGTCAATAAATCTCAGGCCTGGTCGCCCAAAATGTCTTGTCCCTTCTGCCAACTCTCCATACAGCATCATCTTTGGGATACGTCCTTCCTCCATTCTCCTTACATGGCCTAACCAGCGAAGGCGCCTCTTGATGAGTAAGGAGAATATGCTAAATATGTGTGCACGTTCCAAAACCTCGTTAGGCGCCTTGTCCTGCCAACGAATGCGTAAAATGCAACGCAGACATCTTTAATGGAAGCTGTTGAGTTTCCGCTCCCGACTGGTATATGTGGTATACACTTCGCAACCATATACGAGTGCTAAGCACACATGCATGATAGACACTTATTTTTGTTTTATCAGTTAGAGTGAGATTATTCCACACACGCTTATTCAGTTTAGCCATAGTTGCTGCTGCTTTTGCTATCCTGATATTTATCTTTTCATCAACGTAGAGAGAACTAGAAATATTGGATCCCAGGTTCGGTATGTGAAATGATTAACAACCGAAAGATTATGACCCTCAATAGATATGATTGGAGGGGACGGTGCTTCTTGCATAATTACATGTGTTTTCTGTAGACCGGTATTAATAATTCACATTCAGATCATAATTGATTTACGATATTTTCAGCTCAGGCTGAATGTCCCAGTTTGACTAAACCATACTTAGCCAAACATTTACATGAAAATTTAAACATTTTTTTTTTTAAGTTGCACACCTCAAATCAAATAGATTTAATAAATACCGTAAATGTTTGTTAATGATCTATTTTCCCTTCATGTTGATAGAAAGAAATGGGGCACGCTGAATAAAATAAACCAAATTATAAAAAGCGTATCAAACTATCGGAAACGTAGACATCAGTTTGGTATTGCTGAGTCTGAGCAGAAGTTCTTGTCATCTAGTTACTTTTGTTACCATTTGCGCTCAAAGTTAAGGGATCAAACATTAAACAGGTTGTCATTTTTACGATCTCACTATTTGAATTTGACCAAAGATTAAAGCTACACAAATTATTTTAATATTTTATAATGTCTGAAGTTTGACATTTGTGTTATTAATTGTTAATAATCAAAATGCTATTTCTTTTTTATTGTTTTTATTTTCATTAATAAATCATCACCTCTAATCTCAACACAAAATTCTCTAAATATTGACAATATCGAAAATCCCGGGATTCCGGTATTCGGAAACTTCAATATCGAAAATACCGGTTTTGGCTTGGTAAAACGGACCGGCCGGTTTTGCCACCCCTAGTTGTTAGTCTTGAATAACTAAGTGAATTAACTTCATTCAACTAACTGTCCTAACAAGTCAATAATTCAATCAATATTATCAATAACAACAAATTTAATAATTTATCTACAGTACAGTCTATAGTATAGTATAGTCTATGGCTATGGTACAACCTATGCAACAACGAAGTGTCTACACGTCCGCGGACAAATAGTGTGCGAGATATACGTCCGGCGGCATATCACGTGACCGCCGGACGGCTTGTAGTTGTTATTATTCTGAACGAAGTGATATTTGGCAGATATTGTGTGGTCTTGTGGTAGAGTGGTCGCATGACATTATGATTTGAGGATCAATACCTGGCATAGGATCGTTTTTTTTCCCCATTTTAATTAAAAATATTTTATGCTATATTTATATTATCATGTTCATCTGCAATAGTAGTTTCATGAGAAGTTTTTAAATATCTTGTAGCAATTGAAACAATTTAAAATGAAATCTTTTACTTTTATTGGTTACCTACTCCATACTGGCCCCTAATTTATTTTATGGATTACTGGTACACAAACTCAAATAACAAACTAAACAAAAATGTTTACAAGCCACTTTCACTTAAGTTTTTTTCTATTATTTGCATTCAAGATACTCAGTACATTACTTGGTAGAGACATAGATTTTAAAATTAACAATAGTTTTGAATCATTCGCAGTCACGTGACAAGGCTGACCGACAAGATATCTCTCGCCACTTTGTTACGGCGGTCATGTGACTTGGTCGCCGGACAAATAGTGTGGGAGATATACGTCCGGCGCGCCGGATGTGTAGACACTGCCATGCAACAATGACAATATTGACAACAACTACAAATTTATCTACGACTACAAATTTAGATATGCCTATACAGCTGTTTCAGATTTAGCAGCCCACGTTGACTTTGTTAAGGTTAGGCATAGGGATAGATTTAGGGTTCGGGTTAGGCATAGGAATCGATTTAGGGTTCAGGTTCAGGTTAGGCATAGGGATCGATTTAAGACGTAAAAGTGCGCGCATGGAAATAAACGCGGACCGCGTTCTCTGAATTTACCGCCTATACTAGTAATACTATTACTAATAGACTATTACTATTAGGCCTATGCCTATACTATACTACTAAAACTAGGTAAAACTATTAACTATACTGATACTCAATAATTTGAATAATACACTACTTAATTCTAATTGACTAAAATTAATACTATCAATTATCAAATCAGACTTACTACTCAGTTACTACTATCAGTTATCAGTATGGACTAAGAATGATGATACGGATTTTGATACTATGACTATGATTCAAATGATACTAGGTATCACTATCACTGATCACTCACTTCCTAAGCCTAATAATACTAATAATTTTCTGTTTGAGGTAGCCAGGACCAGGTAGCCCTGAAATTTGTTTGATAGTAAAGTTTGGCGTCAAATGATTGATTATACCATAATTTTTATTAGGCCTCTGGGCATACCTACCTTTTACCACTGACCAATGTATTTTAAAAGGTAGAGTCAAATGATCAAATCCAGCGTGCAAAAAAATATAGCATTGATTCTGCTGGATTTGTTTTAAGTGTACGCCTATTTGTCGAAAACGTTGTTGCTTCCGAAATGTGTTCTTTTGAATCGCACAATTTTAAAATACTGAAACTGAAATGCACAGTAGGACGATCTATGTAAATATTTAAATTATTCTTTAATTTAAATAAATAGTTGATTCTATTTGATTTAATAGAAAATTATATTCCAGCTTTGCGTATGTGGAAAATTAAAGATAACTTAGGGCAGTATTAAGAGTATTTGACAACAGTGGCGTATCTAGCGTTGGTGTCACCCAGTGCGGTAAACTCAAATGTGTCACCCCCCCCCCCAATCCTCGACTTACGCAATGGATATCTTCTTGTTAACTCAAGTCCACAGTATAACAATGACAAGACCAAAAGCAAATTAATGGAAGGTCTGGGGGTAAATGTATTAAAGAGCTGTAACATGTACTTAGAATCGCCCGACCACATCGTATTTGGTATCAATGGAAAGCTTTATTTCTCAGAATTGAGATAAATGTAGCTTCCTGTCACGATAGCTACATAACACCTCAATCGGTGTTGAATCATGGTCAAAACGCTGTTTTTTTCTGACATAATTCGCGGGTAACCTCATTGCTGACGCATCAACCTTGAAATTTTAATAAAGCTCGCATTTGCATTGGTTACATGTGTGGAAAATGTAGTTGTGATCATTTGTCCTGTTATGAAATTTGGTTAGATCAAGTAGTGAGTGCTCTGTAAACATGCAATTTTTCAATTTGGTGTCATCCCCCCCCCCCTTTTTCCCGCAAGATGGTGTTACCTGGTGCGCTCCTTAACCCCCTAGCTACGCCCCTGTTTGACACTATTTTTGCCCCTAAACCCAAAGAAGTTTAGTGTGACACCAAATGGAAATTGCTAACTTGACAGAACTCGCTGGAGTCATTTTCATAATATAACCGGAACTAAGTGCCCCGAGAACAAGTTGTCTCCCAATGCTCTCATTAAATGATTAAGCTTAAATCATTTCTCACGATCTCTTTTTCTGTAGCGACATGTAAAAGCAGCTTTTCAACAACAACAACAACAAAATGAGACTTAACAAAAATTTATTTATGATCTAATATGAAACAGCCAGTCTTTCGAAGACGAGTTAAAACGCACTAAATAAAATAAAAGTAATTTTTTTTTAAATGTTCAATAATTTAACTTTTTGTCTACGTTTAATTAGAATCCTTTTGCTCCATAAAATGCCTTACTACCCTCTGCGCATAGTTTCACATTGGATTAAAAGTGTAATATAAAGTTTTGAAAGCCACGACTTCCCAGGGTGATGCGGCTCCCCAGGGCAACGCGGCGCATATTTTGGGAACAACTGGACTACGTCAAACTTTACAGTTCCCCCGAAAGATGTTGACTTGCAAATATATATTAGATAGAGAGAATAAAATCCGCTTTCCGGCAATATATAATTTATACCATCAAATCCTGGGGTTCCCGAGAAATAAACTATTAAACTTATACCAAAAGAACAAATATGATTTCCCAATACAAGCATGGTAGGTAAAAGGTCAGGCTCCACGATAGTGTTGGGTAGTGAACGATCTGTTTCGTAAAAGCGTGACATATTATTTAATACTATGCCACTTGTGTAACACACTTGTATCGACTGCTTAACATTATAACACATTATAATTATATTATTAGTACGTCATCGGAAGTAACTTTCACTTTCATATTTAAAAAAACATATATTTTTATGAATTTAAATCCTGACAATGTCATTATTTTAGCTTTCCAAGTTTACGGAGATACAAACACACAGACGCTCATGTTAGGAAAAAATACCCCCCCACCCACAAAACCGGAATAAACTATAGGTCTACTATCTTTTTTTAATTTTTTTTTTTTTTTTTTTTTTTTTTTTTTTTTTTTTTTTTTTTTTTTTTTTTTTTTTTGGGGGGGGGGTGGATTTTCTGTTATGGCTCTTAGTCTTTACCGACAGTTGATATGATGGCGTTGTGAGAGGTGGATCACACATTCACATTTTCCTGGAATGTACACATGAACATGTGTATATTTCTAACGAGATATATAAAGGATTAGTAAACGAATCAATTTAAAAACCGCTAAAAAAATAATGTCTTTTAAATCCTTTGTATGCGTATTTGTGCAACTTAGCGATGGGTAGACCTATAATTATTAAGAAATCATTTCATCATATTTCCTTCATCTTCCTCTTGAAAAACAGGAAAAACTGATTTATGGGGGATGGGGTGGGGCTGAAAATTTGAATATGTTGTCATCGGTATCGAGTCTATGTGCCAAGTTTAAGCTCGATAGGTTGACGGGAAGTGGGTCAATTATGTTCCGAAGATTTTTCTTCAAACCCAGGAAGAAACACACCAAGAAAAGTGAAGTTAATATGAAGGATTTCATTTTAAAAAAAATAAAATTCATATTTTATATCATTTAAATTTAAGATTTTTTACAATTTAATTATTTAAAAAAACAAAATCTAATTGATATGGGCGTTAAACAGGGTGGTTCTGATCTGTTTCGATCACTAGGGTATGTAGTATGCATGCCTGTGCCGATCACTAGGGTATGTAGTATGTATGCCTGTGCCGATCACTAGGGTATGTAGTATGTATGCCTGTGCCGATCACTAGGGTATGTAGTATGTATGCCTGTGCCTTTTGTGTGCGACTAAATTCATTTCAGGATAAAAACTAATTGGAGAGCATCAATATTTAAAAAAAAAACAACAAGTAAAATTAATATCTTAGGTGACTTATGCGGCTCAAATAACTAAGCGACAAGACAAAATTACAAAGAATTTAAATATATTTAAATGAATAAATTGTGTATTTATGTTTATTTTTTTTAAAAGTAAAAATGTATGCATGTATTTAATGAACTTTTAAAAAGTAACATTTCAAAATCGTCTCTCAAATAATGCCAAGAAATCCAAAAACGTATATACATTTAATTAAAAATGTGACAATACAGCATCAAATTCATATTATAGCTAAAAGATCTGATGGATTCCCCAGAAAGAGAATCGGCCTACATGTAGGGCCTAGGCCTAGCCGACATTTTGATCAACTTTTAACATTGGCGCAGTTAGGGCTAGTGTGGCCCGGTTGGGGGGGGGGGGGGCGGCCAAGATTTTTCCCGACCCCTCTCTTCCACGAAAAAAATCAACAGTTGAACGAAAATCCCACCCCTCCATGTAAAGAAAAAAAAAAATGCCGCCCGGGGCCTACAGCCGCTCCACACCCGTCTTCCTTCGCCACAGCTTGTACAGGTGATGATGATGCAGACCAGCGTTTCTGATGGTGGGTCATATTGCCGGATGGTCCTCCGGGAGCCACAGCTTGTACTGGTGATGATAATGCAGACCAGCGTTTCTGATGGTGGGTCATATTGCCGGATGGTCCTCCGGGAGCCACAGCTTATTTCTTGGGTGACACAAAATTTTAAAGAAAAGGCATGCATATGTATATATATATTTAAAAGTGAACATTTATAATTGCTTGTTTCCCAAAAGCTTTTACATGGATCTTGATCAAACTTGGCACATATATCCACCACTATCCAGAATCAAATACTGGGGGGATGGGTGGTTATGAACTTTTTATAACATTCCGTTTGGGCCCGGGGGCCCCGAAATCTTATTTTTTTTTTTTCTGATATGAGCTATAGAAATAAAATGACCAATAAGTAATCCTACATGAATCGATGGATATTGACCAAACTCAGTACACATACACTTTATTATCCATATTTAAATATAGAAGGGTACTGAACTCATAATATCAATTCCTTGGGGGCCCCATTTTATTTTTCACTATATAAGCTATATAAATATAAAAATGTTCTATTTGAATTGATGGATATATAGGCCTAGTGGAATAGCAATACACTTTGTCCGTATTAAAATATCGGTGGATTGAAAACTAGGAATATCCAATCTAAAATTTCGGGGAACGAAATGGTTACAAAAGTTATTTTAAATGTGTTTTATAGGAGACAATAAAATATATATTTTTAACCACAAGTTATACGTGTTTTTTTTTTTTTTTTTTTTTTACTTGGCGCTTTTTTCCAATTTTAATTTAAAAGGCCGTAGAAGTTTTTTTTTTCTCCCGAATCCAGTCCCGTGCAACGCCGGGTAAATTAAGTTATACGTGTTTTTTTTTTTTTTTTTTTTTACTTGGCGCTTTTTTCCAATGTTAATTTAAAAGGCCGTAGAAGTTGTTGTTTTCTCCCGAATCCAGTCCCGTGCAACGCCGGGTAAATTGTCTAGTTATACATAAATTTATGTAAAATTCAATAATAATGTACATTAATGTTATTTGTTATTCTGTTATACCGATGAAGGCATTAGCCTAAACTTTTAAATTTGTTTTTTGTCTGCAAGAAATTAAAGCTCACATAATATAAATATACTGGTTTTCTTAGCCTACACAAATTGTTTACGTCTTCTCTTAATGGTCTACTTAAAAGTTTTGTCGCAGTCCAACCCTCTTACTCTTGTGAACAGTTCCTTCTGCTTTACAATGTGCAAATCGTTAAAAACTCATGTTATACTCTTAACAGAATTTAAAAAATGAACTCATTGCCATTCAAAATTACCAATAACAAAGATATGTAATCTTCATCAACTGTGGTTAATGGTTTTGCCATTTAGTTTGAGAGTTCCTTTTCAATATGAGTGATATAATTTTTTTTCGGGTAAAACAAATTGTTAGACCATTGTTGACTATTCATTAATGATACTGATAACAAATGATTGCAATTTCGCTTTTAGTAGCTCAATTACTGTTAACATTTTTTAAACAAATCATATGATCAAATCCAGTGATTATTAAAAATGAATTTTAGTTGGCATATAATAATTTTTAGTTTGAATTCTTAAAATTCATATTCCATTGTGGCTCTGCGACAGAGCCGTGGCGTGACCTTTGTAGACCCCCCTCGAAACTTTTCGGTTTGGGCCCCCGTGTTCGTAGTGAAAGTTTTCTTAGAAGTGAAAACAAGTTTAAAAAATAATAATAATAAAAGTTAAACATTTCAAATTATTTAATGGTTCACTCAGAGGAAATGGGCACTTGTTTTTTTAATGCTTACGAAATATTCAACCAATTTAGTGACGTCAGGCTCAGCACATTGTTCATGTTTTTTTTTGGATATCATTGATAATCTCCTGCACCACACGTGAGCGTAGAAAGGTTTTGGCGAGCTTCAATTTAGAGAAACGCTGACAGGCATTGAAAAGACGATGTGTTTAAGCGGGTTAAAGGAATATCTCATTCCCAAAAATCTCTGCGGGTCTGGAATTCATAACATAATACACACCACATCACGGACTCTTCTGCACTCTGGTGAGAGTAAATGCGAAATTGACCGAAGCTCCGTATTTTCGATGTCCTCCAGGACAGCATCTGCTTCTACATGTGCTGTTATTGTTAGCAGAGTGGGCAGTTACTTTGGATTGTCCCAGTGTTTCAGCGAAGCAAGGTGAAAACTGTTCACCTCACCAAGGGAGACAAGAACTACGCCGGTTGCATGAAAGAAGAGATGCACATTACATTTGTGCAAAACATCGGCGGGAATGTCTCGATCTTCATTGCCAAACTGGCATGGCACACGTAGAAGCCTTTCAGCTGGTGTGTGTAGTTTTTGTTTGTATACGTTTGTTGGCACGAAGACTCCTACTAAGACAAAAGTGTCACTTTTTGTTGTTGTTGCGATAGCGGTGTAACAAGCTCTGCGTGGCTCTAATAAGCTCTTGGCGGCCGCCAATTTGCATTTATTCCTCCTATACTTGCTGAGCTTATTGATATCAACTAGCCTATCGCGCGATATCATAAAGCACGGTAGGAAGAGGGAAGAAGCAATGTCTTTTGCTAACACGTTCACCTCAGAGAATATTGACATTTGCCCTTAGTAATTCTGCACCACTCTGCGCCACTGCTATATATATTTGTATATTAATATTACTCCCGTCTAGCAATAGACCCGTCAAAATAACTTGGTGAGGAGAAAAGTCTTTAAATGGCATGATCATTTTTAAATCAAAACTTCGTCCTAATACGTTGAAATGAAATGAAAACAGGAATTTGCGTAATTGAATTCATTCCTAGAGTTATTAACGATGAATTAATGTATATAGAAAATTCGTCAATTAAAAAAATTAGATCCTTGTAAATTTTTAACCAGTGCGTGGAATGGCGGGTAGGGATCTGAGTAAAATGAACTATATGTGGATTTTAACTGAGGAAAATGAACTATATGTGGGTTTTAACTGAGGAAAATGAACTATATGTGGATTTTAACTGAGGAAAATGAACTATATGTGGATTTTAACTGAGGAAAATGAACTATATGTGGATTTTAACTGAGGAAAATGAACTATATGTGGATTTTAACTGAGGAAAATGAATACATTCTTCTAACCAAATTCTGATATAATTTCACTTGCAAAAACGGAATTATTTTTTTTTAGGCAACGTACATAATTATTAATAAAGGATATTTGACGTAAAGTACATATGTCAAAGTCAGTTGGCCTACTGCCAGTGATATAGTAAGATGTAATAGCTTATTTGATACATATCGTGCATTTTATTTTTATGAGTTTGAAGTAATGGATAAACAATTCACAATTAACCCTTTCCCGTCTAAAAGTTACACACATTTTAGTAGCAATGTTTCTTCCAGACATTACATATCACTTAGGTCGAGTTTTAATGATTCATCAACGTAATCTAACTTGAAATAAAACTGAAAAGATGACGTCACAATGCTGTATTTCCTTGTAGCTTTAATGACAATATGTCTAGTTACTGCATTGTATAACGTTTCATTAATAGACAGTGTGTCAGAATTTTTATTTAAAAAAAATAAATATTTGAAACAAATGTAAAAAAGCTATCAATAATATTCATTTTTTACCAACATGGTCTTTTTAAGAGTTACAAAAAAAAACTCAAAAAACAAACCAAAAAGTTCTTTCACCTTTAAAACAATTTATAAAAGTCTTAATGGAGGTCAGAATGAGATTTTGTCTTACGAAAATTATGTTGTTAATTTTCTTGACATTAAACTGAGAGCCAACTTAACGTGTCGTGTAGTAGTAACCCCGCGTTGAATTGGCTTCCTTTACCGCTTTGATAAAGCTCTGGAATAGCTCTTCGTCGGTTGGGACCGGAAGTTTAAGCATTTCAAACCAATCAGCGTAAGAAGTGACGTCATTCTTAATTTTCTTACACACCTCCTTCATCTGGTTCACCATGGTGCGTGTGGGAAACCCCCAATTGTCGTCGTACCTTTGAATAATATCCGCCCGACTCATGTTTTCTGGCATGGCAACGTCCAAGAAAACAACCTGGAAGGCAAGGATGTTGCGACTGACGGCCGTGTGCTTGAATGTTCCTGTAATTCTGTACTCTTTGCTTATTTCGAGGTTTCGCAGCAGCGAATCATCTTTGATGTACCACATCACGTTGCGTTTATAGCATTCCTCGAGATATGCAGACGCCACATCCTGCCAGCTTAATAAATTTGAACCAGCCAGAAGCATCAGCCACTCACCCAAATCAGGGCAGCGGTCTTTCGTGCGCTTAAATTTATCTTCGACAAAGCTGATCAGGAGTGACTCAAGCTTATCCTGCAGGTTTGGGTATGTCTCCATGGCCCAAAGAAACAGTCTGTGTAGCGCAAAGTATCCATATAAGCTGTTCTCGCTTGTATGTTGCACCCCTTTAAAAAAATCAACAACGGTACCTAGCATAAGATTGGGCACGACGCTCAAAATAATGTCCTCAACGGGCTCCACGCCGATTCCTCCCCGACCATTGCGTTCAGAAATCGCGTTCATGGTCTTCTCAAACTCCATTTTGATGCGACCACCTTGGATTGGGTGGATGTACAATGGCAAAAAGAAAGAGAGTTCCTCTTTCAAGACCACGCTGCGGGCCGCATTGGGGGAGTCCTTCATCTCGTAAAACGATTTCCCGGATAGGAACTCGCAAGATGTCGTCAGTCGGATCTTGCCGGTCATTCCTTTGGCAATCACCCCATATCCGAATAGATCGTATTCGGACTTAGGTTCCTTTAACTGAAATTTTTCCTTTGAAATGCAGTCAATAATCTCAACGTTTGGATGGCGTGTCACCTGATTAGTCTCCAAAGCATCCTCGGTTACACGGGCGGGTGCCTCGGGTGGGCTGGCAGCATTCAGTGCCGGCACAGGTGTGGTGTAGGTATGGCCGCAGTCTCTGCATTCAAAACGGCGGGATAAGTCTACGTTCTTGTTGTCAGAGCCGATTTCTGCCAGGAAACTGACAACGTTTATCAGAATGGTTTGCACGGTATAGGCGGGAGACCAGCCGGTCGCTCTCTCGCTCGCCCATTCCGTGTGCACGTCGGCAAAGTCGGAGAAGATGCTCAGGCAAATCTGTGTACCCTTCCTCCCATGTTTGGTGGCGCCGCCTGCGTAAGTAAATCCCGTAGGGACGAATTCTGCGCTGGGTGGCTTGTAGGGGTACTCGGACGAGAAGAACAGAATGAGATGAAAAACTGCCTCGCCGTGCTTGATGTTACAGTGCCACTCTAACATGTTGTCCTCGAGGGGTGTGGCTGAGACATTTTCCACGGGGCTCTTATTTAACTCCGCCAAATCATGCATCAGCCGCTTCATGCAGTTCTTCTCTGAGTGGGCCATGTCCGGACTAACTTTAAAACTTCTTTATTGCCCTTTATATGTCTGCTGAGATCAAAATTTATATTTAAAAAAAAAAAATTCATACAATAATTGTAATTATTTCGCAAACATTTTATTATAGAAATTATTCTTAGTTATTTAAATCATAAATTGCTGTCTCTGGACGATACACACAAACAAGCACACACACACACACACAAATGCACACGCGCAAACATAATAGATTCCACTCATTGTCAGAAATAACCAGGGAGTCGGCGTAATGATTGTGGTTTCACCAAGGAACGCCTCGGCGTCTGCCTGATCTGGTGACACCCTGGTGAGATGGCATGTTGTTCTGGTGACAATGGGACACACGCCTGGGCAGTTTATGTTAATTTTAGATAGAAAATGCGGTATGGAAATCAAGGGTACATCATATGTTGGGTTATCATGGACAAATTAAAGTTAACACGGTCAAGTTAAAGTTATCATGGAAAAGTTAAAGTTATCATGGGCAAGCTAGAGAAATGAGTTTTTGTAGTTTTCTTGAAAGTGAAATGTCCTGGTTCGTGTTATATAAGGGTATAGGGGACTGACAATCAGAACCCCCCCCCCCCCGCGACGCTTCTGTCCACATTTGGTTCACCCCCCCTAAACCAGGCCCTTCCATTTTTTTTATTTTCCAAATTTTGCCATCACGATGTCATTTTAACTGACACGACTTTGAACAAATGTTACATGTAATGAATTCAGACAAATCATCTTTTTTTTTTTAATCGATCCATGCGTATTTCATCTTATACAAATAGATTTAGACAAGTACTTTGTGGATGAGTCAGAAGCTAGAAAATAGGTCAGTTAGAGTGTGGGTCGCGTTGACCCAAAGTGCCTGGGCTACAGTTATATTTTACCTGCACCTCTAGTAAACCATATTCTTCTTAGAAATACTAAAAAATCTTCTTTTTTTTTTTCAATCGGTATAGACTCTTCAAATTATTTAACATTTAACATTATTCAACAAATAAACCGAGTTCAAATTCGTTTAAAAAACAAACCAAGGGAATAGACTTTATTCGTGTCTTCAGTTTAATTGCCTATTGAGGCTATTGTAGCCAATGAATTGTTATTAAATAATGTCTTTTTTAAAATTTAAAGTATTTTATTACAATGAAATTAATTATTATAATTTTTTAATTTTTAACACCAATTTTAAATCCAGCCCACATTTTAGGCTGCATGGTTGACCCCATGAAGTTCATATACCAAATAACATACTTTAAGTTACATTTTACCTCTTTGAAACAGAAATTCAATTAGACGAAATAGTAAATCCTAACATTTTTTGCTCCAAGTCCAACACGACAAACCAGTAACTAATCCCTCTTCTCAAAGCACAAACTTTACGACGAATCGGGATGTAGTCATTCTGTAAAGTACTATTGATTTGTGAAGCGTTATTTGCGATACCGAAACCGGTTCACAAGCTTCCCATTAGGTGCAAGCTTCCCATTAGGTGCATTGGCCTGATTAAATTGATTAGTTTTGAGAGGACAAAAAAGAAGCAGACTTACTGTCGGAGCTATACTGTGCTGATGCGTTTCATTTTCGCACAACAACCCACCTTAGAAACTCCTTTCCCAAAAGTTAACCGCTTTTTGAAATAACAGCTACTGTGTCGTGAAAATGAAGGGTCGATGAGATTCCAAGAAATGGAAAATTTTCCCCGAGCAGTGAGCTGGTGTCGTGACTGGGGATTCCTGGAACTAAATATAGTCTGTTAGCTGTCGCATGTCACAAGGCGAAAAGAAGGTTAAGGTCTCAAAAACATTTACAGTGTCACTGAAAACAGTGTTGCTACAACGGCCGTGGCAAGCCAAAGTAGGCCTACATATTAATACACATAGTTTACATGAAAATTAAGATTTAGACGCCCTTTGAAGATGGAGACCGGGGCGGCTGCCCTTTGAAGATGGAGACCGGTGCGGCTGCCCTTCGCCATAGCCCCCCCCCCCTTTACATCCCTTACACGACCTGGCTACTATAACCTTCTCGTCGCGTCAGGGCAAAGTTATCCTTATTTTAAGTGATCTCATTGAATTGCATTTTAGCAGTTTGGAAAATGAATCTGTGTTTTTAAATAGATCAATTAATTTAATTTATAATGTAATTAAAAAAAAACATTTTTAAATGTAATCAAACATAATCTCACTGTCTCAATGTAAAATCAATCAGTGTTTCTTTCAGACAGTTTCCTCCGGGTTGGGGACATTTCAGATTGTGTGTGTGTGTTGGGGGGGGGGGAGGCAATGCCAGTGGACAGTGGCCAGAGGCGTATCTATGGGGTGATATGTGGGACATGCGCTCCGCGGCGCCAGATTAGCGGGGGAACCAACATGGGCTTTGATGGTATTAAATTGTTGAAAATAATTAGTTTCACAGTTGAGCGGGGGGGGGGGGGGGGGCGTAAAATGAATCATGTCCCCTGACGCCAAACACTCTAGCTACGCCCCTTCCTGTGGCATTGGAAGGGGGAGAATGAGGTTGTTCACCCAGGTGTCACTTGTTCTTTATATGGAGGTGCGTCATTTTTCGGACTACTGCAGTTTATATAGTGAAAGAGAGAACGGCCAAAATATTTGGCCCTAAATGTGACACTAATAGCAGCTACGCCTCTTAGGCAGTGTATCTCTCTTCACCAAAATTATCAATCATTTTCATCGGGGTGTAGGGCATAAATCGAGGGCGCCAATTAACCTTGCCACCAAATAAAAGCAAGTCAAAGATCATAAAGGTAAACTCAGCCAACCAAGAGCATATCTCTCTAGTAGGAAATGCAGTGGAAGAAGTGAAGGCCTTCACATACGTAGGCAGCACCATTGACTTAAATGGTGGATTCGAAGAGGATGTCAGGGCTAGAATTTAAAAAAAGTTAGGTTAGCATTTATGCTATTAAATAAAATATGGGAGTCAAAGGACAAAACACAGTCAGAATTTTCAACACCAATGTCAAGAAAGTCCTACTCTAAGGATACGAAACTTGATGAAAAGCAGCGAGCATTACGCAGAAAGTACAGACCTTCATATACACTTGCCTTAGAAAGATCATGAATATCAAATGGCCACATCACCAACAATGACTTACTATATAAGACATATCAGAAGCCTATTGATAAAGAAATCACAAGGAAAAGATGGATGTGGATAGGGCACACTCATAACCCCCCCCCCCCCCAGATAAAATCCCCTGAAAATCCCTACCAGATAACATCACCTGAAAATCCCTAATATGAAATCCACAGGGAAGAGAGGAAGCCCTAAAAATACATGGACACGCGAGCTAGAGGCAGACACACAAAATATGGGATACACCTGGAAGCAACTGGAAATGAATGGAAAATTCTTGTAGACGCCCTATGCACAAAGCCTGGGATATAAGCATGGGCGCCCGCAGAAAACTTTCTTGGGGGGGGGGGGCAAAAAATCGATTAACTTTCCGGGGAGGGGGGGCAAAATTTTTTTAGTAATTTTTAATGTAGTTTTATTTTACTGTAGCGTATTTGTATGGTGAACGAACGGACAGGACATCAGCTTAGTTACTTATGGGATATGAGCATGGGCGCCCGCAGAAAACTTTCTTGGGGGGGGGGGGCAAAAAATCGATTAACTTTCCGGGGAGGGGGGGCAAAATTTTTTTAGTAATTTTTAATGTAGTTTTAATTTACTGTAGCGTATTTGTATGGTGAACGAACGGACAGGACATCAGCTTAGTTACTTTCTCTTTATTTTCTCTTTACTTTAATACTTTGTCTATTTTTGTCTAAAAAAATTGTATCCAATCAATCCAGGGGGGGGGCAAGTGCCCCCTTGCCCCGCCCCCCTGCGGGTGCCCATGGATATAAGTAAGTACGATAAATCTTGAGATTTTTTTTTATTATTTCAAAATCAAGATGTGCATTTTGAAGTATAGTTGAATTAAATGTTTATATTAAACTTTTTTTTTATCAGAGGAAGGACCTTTGGGCCTGTAGAGGAATTAAGGTGACTTCACTTTAGTTGTGGCGTGCCCCAGGGTAATCATTTGGCACAAGATTACATTCAACCTAATACTGTAACACTGATCAGCGGGAGGGGGGGGGGGGGAGGGTGGAGAAACTGAGGGGGCGGAAGACAGGGGGGCAAATTAAAAAGGCAGGCGATCATTTTAGGGCAACTTGAATTCAGTGTTTCTTTTGGACAATTTGGGGGGGGGGGGGGTTATTTCAAACTTTTGTGGGGGAAGAGCCAAAATTTGCTATCATTATAATAGTGATCAAAGACATCTTTAACGCCGCACCAGCGGGACATGAACTAAATGCATTCCAGATGTGGTTTCACTTGAGGGCATGCATTTTCCCTAGCTTAATATCGCCTATTTAATCTTTATATTAGTCTCAGAAATGTTTTTGATCAATTCAAAATACAAGAATGCATTTTAGCAGATGCTTTAATTTAGTTTTGCAGCTTATTTACTTACTTATGCCTTTTTACCCCCGTCTGTGGCATAGGCGGTCCACAAGAATTTCCACTCATCACGGTCATGTGCTTTCCTCTCCAACTGCTTTCAGGTGTGTCCCATATTTTGCGTGTCTTCCTCTAGCTCGCGTTTCCATGTATTCTTAGGCCTTCCTCTCTTTCTTTTCCCCTGTGGATTTCACTGTGAAAATCCCCAGGAGTTTTGCAGCATTCTACTCTTAATTTGAGACCAACGGAAGAGATGCTAGTTCTTTTAAAAAATGTAATGTCACTTTACCTCGGAAACGCCGTGTGCGCCCAGCAAACCCTACGACTGTAGTGGGCCTTGGAGAAATTAGGCACTTAAAGATGTCATGTGGATGTTTTCTTATTTATTTTTCTTATTAATTTTCTTTCAATGCAGAGTGGGGGGGTGGGGTGGGGAGGGGAGGAGAGGACCCACTCAAAAAGTGGCAAAAGGGGCCTCGAAAAGTCGAGTTACGGCTCTGTTTGACCGGCTTGTGTTATGCACATATTTTTTAGATTACTAAATTGTAAGGTGACGTTCATTTTTTTTTATTTTAACTTTTTTGTGGGCTTAACTACATAGTTAATAAATGAGTTTTCAGAAGGACACAAAAAAAAAAAAAAAAAAAGAAAAGATTTCCATCACAAAAAAAGCACTGCTAACCAATGTTCCCTTTAAGCTGCGCGGCTGCGCGGCCTTGCAGCTATCTCACAGACGCCGCGCAGCAGTTTTGAGTACCGCGCAGCTAATTTCCACTTAAGTGTGTGTTTGTGTCTGTAGGCTGTAAAATTTTGCGCACAAAAAAAATTGATGCTCTAAAAATTTGCCCACAACTTTATGATTTTGCACACGAACCAACAAACCTTAGAGGGAACATTGCTGCTAACATCATTTTATGTTGAACGAACATGAAAAAACAAATACTTGTAATAATCAACTTACGTGTAATTATAGCCTCTACTAAATATTTCCAAGTTTAACCAGAGTTTTAAAAAAAAAAGTCAAGAAGATAGGTCTAGGCCTATACATTTTTATGGATTATCCAAGCTGGTCATTCTTAGAAATCGTATATGAATGCCACTTTTATGTAAAGAAGACATGCGTTGTTTACAATATAAAGTATAAATTTCCCAATGTTCAGTTGATTGAAATTTTTATTCGGAATTTCAAACTACTGTAACTTTTTTCAGATAAATTACAAACTGCCACATGGATAATATACTTTAAAACATTTTATTCCCAAAAATCCACAGAATTTATATTAAATTGAAAAAATTAGGAATAAGATTTTTTCTAAAAGAAGTGCCAACAAAAATGGAATTGCCATGATAATCGAAATTCTTGTTAACAAAAATCTTTTTTTTTTTTTTTTTAGCTTTTTTATCGATTCCCATATAGAGAAAAATATTTTTTTTTTTTTTTAATTCTGGGCAAAAAAGATGGGACAGTTTTTAAAATTATTCTTCGGAAAAACATAAGCATTTGGTAAGTTGATAAACATAGACTATTTTTTTTAAAACCTCAATTATTCAGGAAACTTTGTTATTTAAAAGCACATTTAAAGAAAACACAAACACTTTCGCTATAATAATGGATGAAAAATACACTATGTGTACTTGCCCGTTAAATTCTTATTAATTAAAAAAAAAATAAATCCCATTTTATTATGTAGCTCGACATTCATGGAATCGAGTACATTTATAATTATGCTAAGAAAAATATTTTACAGAGCTAATATCATCATACAATTTATAATTAACTTAAAACCTATCCCTATTACAAAAGTAAAGCTTTTATAATGAAATATATTTCAAAAGCTAAATCATTGCAGAAAAGAAGAAAAAAAAATGATGACGAATAATACCACCGGCATCTCCACCAAAATTAAGGTCAGGTAGGAAAGATTAGAGACAGC